GCAACCAAGTGCAACCAGTCGAAAAAAAAATTCGTGACGGAGCAAGGCTCCTCTCGGCGTATAGCCAGCTCACAGCCCGTGGTGGGGGGGGGGGGGGTAAGGATGACGGAGAGCAAGAAGGGAGGTGTGGACGGGACGGGGACACGGAAGGGGCGGGAAGACGGCCGCGTTTTTCGACCCGAGTGTGTGTTTTCCACCGGTCTAGAACCGATGAAACTTGTTGTCCGGGGGGAGCACCACATCTCCCGTGTGTTCCGACAGTGTAATCGGTGCACCGCGTTTTCCCCCGCTTTCCTGCAGACCTCGCATGCATGCATCCATCTCCTCTGGCCCGAGTCGTATCCACACTCTGCTGCTGCCGTTTTTTTGTCGTGACAGATCGGGCTTGCCATTGGCATGACCCAGCCTGGGCCTAACTCGGAGGAGGAGCTGGTACGGTTCCTGTTCGATCGCCCGACGGTGCAGGAGGGACGGACTTGCCAGAAGGTTCGGCGTCGTTTCGATTTTGATGGGAGAGGCGTTGTCGGGGGGGAGGGAGGGAGAAAGGGAGGGAGGGAGGGGCGGTGCTTTTTTTGTGTTGGCGCGTTTTGGTTGGGTTGCTCGCGACGACTCTCCCAGCGTTTGCTGCCTGCGCGCCGTTGCTAGGTAGGCAACCTGGTTTGTGAAGTCTCTATTATCTCTCTCTCTCTCTCTCTCTCTCTCTCTCTTTCTCTCTCACTCGCTTTTTTTTCTCTCTCTCTGAATCTCTATCTCTCTCTCTCCCCCTCCTTCTGCCTCTCCCTCTCCCACGTTACCTCTTGCCTGCTTCCAAACACGCCGTCGCAAACAAGCTAAACTGCGCCTCGATCTCTCATGTGCTGCGTCGAAAACGCTTACTTTCACCCTGTCAAAGACTACCCCCGTACTTGTACGGACGTCGCTGCCGTTGTCTGTGTAGCCTCGCGCTCAAGCGATTTTTTTAATCTTTGACCTTGTTACTCTCCTGCTTTGGCGCCGTGCCGGCTCGTCCGTCTGCCAGGTCCTCCTGGTGCTGGAGGACGTGGACTCGCTGTTCGAGGCCGGGGGTGACGCGCGCGACCGTGTCTTGAAGCTCCTCAGCAACCTGTGCTCCAAGGGCGAGCACCTCAAGCTGCTCGTGACGAGCGAGCAGAGGTTGCAGCGTGACACGAACGAGAGATTTCGCCACGGGTCGGAAAGGGTGCGCTGAAGCGTGACTTGTGTTTTTTTTGTTCTTGCGGGTGAATGGGCCGGGGCTCGTGGGGAGGTGGGAGTGCTTCTTTCGGGTGCCTGAGTTTTGCGCTGTGTGTGTTATTTGGGTGCGTGACGACGCGATGAGTCCTGTCTTGTGTTTTTAGCGTCGTGATGGGTGCGGTTTGTCGATCTATAGTCAAGTTCCCTCTCGTCTATGATGCCAAGAATGCCTACTAACAAATGTTTGCCATACTTTTTTGCAAGAGTTGCAAGCAAGTGCACAATAAACACACGGGACGTTACGCGCTGTTAAACAGGTGGCCAAGGTGAAGCCTCTGAAGGACCGCGATGCGGCGCAACTCCTTATTAACAAGGTCCCGACACGCTTCACCAAGAAGGAGCTTAGGCTCTCGCTCTCGCACCGCTGCACGCGCGAAGACATCCTTAAGGCGTTGGAGGCGCACCCGGTTTTGAAGGCTGCGGAGGGGCATCCGGGAACGCTGGTAAGCTTTTTTTTTTTTGTCCCGGGGATTGGGTGGTGAGTGTTTGTGTTGTGGGCATCGACCGCGGTAGCCGGCTGACCAATGAAGAAATGAAGAATGCGTCAGTTTCAGTCCCGACTGAAAACAGAAGGACATTGATCTGGGACCCCGTGAGGGGAGGTAAGTGTATGTGTGTGTTTTCTTTAGTTCGCATCGACCGCGCTGACCGGCTGACCAACGAAAATACGTCAGTCTTGCAGCGGAAATACAAACGCGGAACAGGTGTGTGTGAACGAGTGTAGCGATTTGACCCTAGTTTGTCTCGTGGGCACGCGTGTGTAGTCGTGGGTGTCGTACCCGCGTCCGGCGACGATCTCAGTTGCTGTTGCGATTGAAGGATTCCAGGGTAAAAGCCGCCACGCCGCAAATTCTGGCGAGGGGATGGATGCATCTGTTGCGGATACCGCTCATGATGTGCCGGGCCTGATGTGCAGAGGCACGCTTGGTCTGCTACTATGTAGTTTGCCGGCAGCACTTGGGGATACTAATCGAACGGTGGAGATTTGGAGATGCTTTTGGAACAATGCGAGATTCCATCTCAACACAGAGCAGGAGATTCCACCCGAGAAAAAAAGAGTGGGAGATACGTACCATCCGAACATTGGAGATTTCATCCAAAACAATGGGAGATGCCACGAACAAGTAGAGGTGCCATGAGAGATACCGGGACATATATACCAGTCGAACAATTTGGACACCATGCGAATGTCGGGAGATGCCTCCCGAACAAGCTTCGTACGGAAACTCTAGACCTCCGACGCCTTCCCTTGCATCCCTCTCCGCGTGTTTTGTCCCTCTTCTGTTGCTCCTTTTTTCTGTTTTTTTCTTGGTTTTCGTTTCTCGCGCAGTTGAGGCTTGCACCCCTTCTAGAAGACCACAACGTGAACGACGCGTGCGTGCTGCACAGGGCGAATCAGTGAGTTAATCGTCGGCGTTGTTCGTTTTCGGCAGCAGTGTTCTCACCCGTGCCTCGTCTCTTTCTTCGTGCGGCAGCGGCAGCGGCGGTGGTACCTATTTAGGGTGATTGTGTGATGGAAAAGGGCATGGCGACATACGGCGTTCGGCCGCCTGACAAGTATTACTGCCGGAAAAAGAATCGCACGGCGTTTGTTGGTTGCACCGCTGCTGCTGTGTTACGTTCAGCTCAACGCCGGGGTGGATGTGTGTAGGGAGTGGACACCGGAATCGCTATCCCGCCGCCGGAGACCGGGAAGACCTTGTTCTTTCCCCCTCCGGGACATGCATAGCTGGCGACCACTAGATGCCAAGCGCCATTTTGTTTTCATGTTTTCATACAGCCATCACCAATTCGTATTTTTTTTCCGCTTTCCCTTTGGCTGGTGAGTCCTCTCTTGTTCCTGCCCTGCCTTTTTTTTTTGTTTCTTGTCTCACCCCGCTTTTTTTCCCCGTCGGTCGTGTGTTTGTGTGTGTGTGTGTGTTTTTTTTTTCTTCTTTTTTTTTGTGTCTTCACCTTGACGCCGAACAGACACCGCCTCGAGTACAAACAGGAGACGCACACGCTGAGGAGGAACCGCGCGGGCTCTAACACCTCCCTGGCGAGCAGCGCGGGGGCCGCCGGCACCGGCATGGGGGGGGGGGGCGTGGCCTTGCCGAGCGGGGCGAGCGACATGAGCCTGGGCAACAGCATGGGAGGGGGGAGGCCTATGACGCCGACGCAGCCCCACCTCCTGGGGCACGCGATGAGCCACGACACCCACTTCCAGCAGCAGCAGCACAACGGCAACGGCAACGGTAACGGCGTGTCGCCTTTCTTCCAAGACCTCTCGTCCTGGGCGGGGGGCGGCGAGATGCACCACCCCCTTCTGAACGGGGCTGGCATGGCGGGGGGCTCCAGCATCCACAGCTCCGGGATCGGGGGCAGCGGCCACGGCATCCACTCCGCCGCCGCACCCGCCGCCGCCCGCGCGAGCAGCCACCCCCACCACCACCAAAGGCGACACTCTTCCCACCCGCAGTCCCCCACGCACCCGCGGCAGCACCACCCCCAGCGGCGCATGACCGTGATGAACCAGCTCATGGCTCAGGTGGAGCTGGAGGAGCCGGACCCGCCACAGATGACTCCGGAGGAAAAGCGGGCGTGGGATACCGCGCGGACGGCCGGGCTGATGGACCGGGGCTGCCGCCTCGTCTGGGTAAAGGCAACCACGAACGCCTTGCTGAACGGGTGGACATACGACGGCGGCGGCGGCAGTGACAACGGAGGGTTCGGGTGGCCGGCCGAAGGGGCGGGGGCGGGGGGGGTGACCAACTACGACTGCGTGCCGTGGGACTACCTGAGAAGGGGGCTGATGCAGCACCTCTGCGGCAAGCTGACGATCCCCAGCAGCCACGACGAGGTGGTGGACGAGGGCCCTTACGGCTGGCGGGGAGACGCAAGCAGCGTCGGGGTAGGGGTAGGGAACGGGTACGGGGCGGTCAACACGCCGCAGGTGCGCTGGATGAATGAGGAGGAGCTGGCGTTTGTGCGCGGCGTCCTCAAGGCCAAGCAGGAGAAGGTCCGCTTGAAGCAGGAAAAGCTCCGCCAGCAGCGGGCTAGCCGGGGCTACGCCGGGACCGAGCTGGTGTCCATCGGGAGCAGCGGCGCGGCGGACGCGGCCTCTGGCAGGGGCGGCGGCGGCGGCGGCAACGGCAACGGGGACGTGGACGTGATCTCGCTGGACGCATTCGTGGAGTTCTCGCTGTGGTGGGCGCCGCTGATGCCGACGCTTTCCCTCCTGAGGAACGACTGGGCGTCGACGAACCCGACCAGGGTGCACGGGTTCATCAGCAGGATCGCGGCGGAGCGGCAGCTGCTGGAGAGGGAGCGCGGGACCTTCCTGCTGAGGTTCAGCGAGTCCCAGCCCGGAGAGCTGGTGGTCAGCTTCACGGAGCACGTGAGTATTTTTTGGTCCGTTTGAAAGCTTTCCGTTGTCTGTAGCATTATTGTGCTTTTTTTGTTCTCACTTTGCCCGTCCGGGATACGTTTTCCAGCTACGCTCTCGCTGACGGTGGCGGACGACCTCTGCCCGCGGCTCCAAAACACCAAAGTTTTATGTTTTTCGTGTCACAACATGTTTTTTTGTTGTCTTGGGCTGTGCCTTCGTTGGACACGTGGGCATCCGTCAGCTGGAGAGCACTCCTCATTGATTGTGGAAAAAAAATTATTAAATGACCTTTGACAGGGTCCCAATGTTGCTGGAAAATCGGAAACAAACGCCGATTCAGGGGGCTATGGAGAGGGAAGACTCTGCTGTTGTACCCTATAGTTTAAAGAAGCACCAGGTTGGTCGTGAAGGTAGAAGCTGAGCAACATTTTTTGGTGTTTTCTCAGCGATACAGATATTATATTTCATTGCCACGAGTGTGCCTTCGCCTGGGGACCTGGGGTCACGGCACTCAGCGATGGCGCAGCAGTACGTAGCGGTCCCTGTTAAAGGCAGCGTAGCGCCAATGGGTTTGGCCTGCCGTACGCCGCGCACCCGTCACTATTTAAGAGTATTGGGCAGGTTGAGAATTCCGTCTGTGTCACGCGATTTTTCACCGGCCTCCTTACCTCAGAGCCCGGACTTTTCTTTGTTCGGCCTTGCACCGATACCGGGACCACCTGCCGTAGCTTGGTTTGACAAGAACGATCCCTAACCCCAAGCGAGCGACAACGAGCCCGGCATTTCACACATACCTATACCTACCCAACTTCCCTCCCCTGTCCCCCGCGTCGCCCCCCTCCTTGCATGTTTGAACCTTTTTCGCGTCGACGCTAATCGATATTCCCCCTCAACCCCCCCACCAGGTGACGCAGGCAGCGCCCCGGGCTTCATCGATGCTGACCTCCGCCCCCCGCTCCCGACCGCGGTCACAGTCCATGTGCGTCAAGCACTGCCTGGTGGAGGTCAGGAGGGGCGGCTGGTGCTACATCGAGGTGGAGCAGGGGTCCAAGGTGCCCTACCCCTCGCTGCACGACCTCGTCCTCGCGTGCTCCAGCATGCAGGTGCTCTACCCGGACGTGCGGAAGGAGGACGCGTTCGACGAGCCGTCAGGCGGGGGGCCGTGGGGCGGCGGCGGCGGCGGCGGGGGGGACGCCGCGTTGAGCGACACGATGTCGCTGTACCCCCAGCCCCCCGACGTGGCGAGGCTGAGCGGGCCCGTGGGCGTGGTGACGCTGGAGGAGTGGGGCTCAAGGCCCATCGACATGGTGCTGGTGGATGACGATCTGGATGCGGACCTGACTCTCGCGGGGGCCGTATAGGGTGGACTGCTGTTGATGTTTGTGTCTGCAGCGGTGTCTTACTACGCCCGTGTCTAAGCACGCGCGAGATTGTCACCCTGTGGTACTCCACATAGCCAGCATAATAGTAGTGTTGTATGATCGATCGTGCACGGGAGGGAGTAAGTACCCCCATGGACTTTCGCCCGCACGCGCGATCTCTCTGGTCAAAAAGCGAAAACAATGCTTGATTCCTTTTTTTTTTTTCTTGTCTTGTTTGTTTCGTGTCATGACCGGCTCGGTGTTTGTTTGTCCGGCTGTCACGCCTCGCTGCGTGTGTGTATTGTACAGTCAATGTCAATGTATTTCGTGCCTTCTTGTGAGGGTCTGCGTGCTGGTGGCGGTGTGGCACACAGCACGCGCGGCCTCCTCTTGTCAAAAAAATTGTTGGGCACGCACGGGGCATTGTCCAGCGAAATAGTGTGGCGTCTGCGCCGTTGCGCGTATATGGCGCGCTTGTTGGTAGTTTTTTTCGGCCCTGAACTCTTGTGCTCTCTGGGATTAGAGCAGCGCCGTTGGGGGGTCATCGCGAAGTGAGCCAGCTGTGTACACTGAACACCGTGCGCCACATCGTAGCTTGTGTTTGGGGGGAGCGTAGGTCAATCAAGGCCGCGCTGCTGGTCCTGCTGTGCAGGCTGTGGCTTTTGGCGCGTCGTAGAATATATATGTAATATAATAGCGTTACTCGTTTGACCTAGGGAAAGGAAGGTGTAGGCATGTCGTGTGTTTTGATACTTCTTGGTGTACCTTATTCATATACACCCTTGCGGTATGCTTCCCCCCTCCTCCCCCCCCTGGAACCTCTCGTTGTTCTCGGTATATTCATTTTCTGATGGCGATATTTTATGCGTATGGTTTTGTTGTCTGCTCGCTTTTGGGGGGGGGGGGGGGGGGCTGGCGGCTGTATGGAGGGACGGGATGCATAGATCGTGATACACCGGAGCCCCCTTTCTTGGTGGCTTTTCTCGTACCTGGCAACGGCGACAATCGTTGTGGGGGAGGTGTGGACAGTCGGTGGTGGGAGAAATACACTCGTGTACATCTGCAGTGACGTTCGGTCACGTATTCTTACCTACCAGGGCATCCATGCAATTTTTGTTCTCTTATTGCATACCGCGTACACGCCATTTTTTCTTTGTAAAGAAAATGAAGACGCCTGGTGGTACCGCCGTATGCACGAGAGTGTAGGTGGGGGGCGTCCCTCTTCCGGCCGAGATTTTTTTCCATTGTGTGTTTTCCGACGTAACCAGCTCGTTCGGCGGTGCCTCGCAGCACGGAGATTACCAAGCGGGGTTGCTTTTTTGTCAGGTTTTAAGTTTTTCTCTTTTTTACGGCTCTTTGCAGGCGCGGGCGCTCTTGCGTGGGCACCAGCAACGGTGCTTGTGTTCAAGTTTCTGCATGTTTTGTCAGAGTAAGACACTTTCTGCCTGAACTTGGCATCCACATTAAAGCAGCATGTGTTGCTTGCCGTGTTGCATGCGGACTTTAAAACGGGTACCGGGGATGTGTCTGAGTGAAATATGCCGAATTCGATAGGCACTCCCTTTTTGTTGGCCGCGCGTCCCTCCTCGGTTCGCCGCGGTCTGCAAGCGCGATACGAGGCTCTCTGTCGTTCCCCTCGTCAACTGCTACCGCTCTTTAGATTGTGCTGTAACTACGGTAGCCAAACAGCGGCGCCGGTGTGCCTGTCACCATGGGCGTAGTTGGCGGTGCTCGCGGGTGGCAACGACCCATGTTTTAGAAGAGTCTTCGTGGTTTTTTTGACAGGTTGCGCTGGTTTCGTTCGTTGCTCAGACTACCTTTAGCGGCGGCGCGCTGCGTCTCGAGGGAGCGGGCACGCGGCATTTGTGGGAGGTTAACCCCCCTCCCCTGTCTGTTTGGTATTATAGAGGGTGAGACGCCTCCCGTTTTTCTCGGCTTCACATGGCGGTATATACATCATCCGGGCGGGCGAGGAGGATACAATCTAAGTCGTTATGTGAGGTGAAATACGGAATATTCACACTACTAGTAGCGTGTTTCGCTCGGCGGGTCAAATGTCACAGAGATAGGAAACAAATGATAACCTATACCTGGCACAGGAGTTCTTTCTTTTTTTTTCACGGTTGGGAGGGTACACAGAGAGGGATACCGTATTGTATACCCAACAAGTACGCGGTAGACTACACATCACGGTTTTCCACAGCCGTGTGGCGGGTCGACCCGGGCGAGATTTTCAGTGCCCAAGGCCAACGGCCTGTTGTTCCTTCTCCTCTCGCTGAACGAAAATGGTGTGCGCAGTCCCATTGGCCTCATCGGGTGCCAGCCACTCTCTTGACCCGCATCACGGTTTTCCACAACCGCGTGGCGGGATCGACCCGGGCGAGACTTTCAGTGCCCGAGGCCAACGGCCTGTTGTTCCTTCTTGTCTCACTGACTAGTGACAGACGGATGATGCCATACGAACCAGTGATGCGAGCTACCCTTCCTTGTGGCGACGACACGAAACCCTCTGTATTGTATCTGCTCTCTCACGTGATTGAAATAAAAAACAAAATATGACCAACCAAGAGAGAAATAAACAAGAACACGCCAGCAAAAGTAGTGAGTTCCCGAGATGAGACGAAAAACGTGCCTGCTCCGCGCCACTTGCCCTACAGGACTGGCCCGCACTCAGGAACATGGTAGTTGAGAACTTGAGCCTCAAAATTTCCAAAAAGAACTTGACCTTAAGAACAGGGGCTCAGTTATACTACACTGAAACCTACGTAATCGTGGGGGTGCCCCATAGACAAAATAGAAACGAGCCCCAGCAAAACAAGCGGTCCAAAAGTGCGGGCCGGTTTCTATAGCTCGCGCCCGAGGGCAGCGGCTATGTATGTATGTATGTACAATGCGAGCGTTCTGCGCGGGTCGCGTCCGCGTGTCTTGTCCGTGCTATCGGTCGAACGCGCGAGGAAACAAGCGGCGAGCGTTGGCAGTGGTGGTCTCGGCGACGACATCCGCGGGGACCCCCTTCAGGCTCGCGATCCAATCCCTCGAAATTGAGAGGTTCCCCGGAACGTTCCGGACGCCCTTTTCCGGGCCCTGTAGATAAAAAAAAAAACGCGGGGTCCGGGCGAAGAGTGGCGGGACGGGTTGGAACATTTCGCGGCCGTGCAATGCTCCGTCGTTCGTGGTTGATGGTAGGACCAGTGCGAGTCGGTTGTCGGAGATGTGGCCATGAATTACCCGCAAACCAAAAAGCTACCCATCACACGCGTATGCACAACAGCTATGCACAAGTAGCTCGAAATATGCCCATGTTTGTGGACAATCGAGAATGAATTAGGCCCCGCAGCTGTTGTAGGTAGTTTTTTTTTTCCGAGTCCGATTTAGCCCTCTGGGGAGATCGCCATGCTTGGCCGTGTTTCGTGGTAACACGCCACCGACACCGTGGGCCTCTGTGACAATTCTGCTGGGTGCTAATCATCTAGCCACATTCTCGACGCCAATCGGAGTCCCGCTCCCAAAACAACACCCATCTCTGCTCCTTTGCCTAACAACAAGAATGCGCGCAAACCGCCAATTTGTTGCTGGCCAACATGGCTCCGGTCGGGAGGGCCGCAAACCTGTCCCGGGCGAGAGGGGCCCAACGCTCCCTTCACCCGTAACACTGGTTGCAAACAAACAGAGAGAACCAGAAAAAAGAAAGAAGACGCACGCCTGTCCGCTCACGATACGTTCCTTCTCTTACCAACGCGGGCGAGTCCGTCTCCAGCACGAGCGACTCCAACGGTAACGCCTTCACAAGACTCTGGAAGCCCGGGGAGCGGCAGACGATCGGGGGAACGGAGAAAAAATACCCCGCCTTCGCCGCCTGCACGGCGTACCTTTCCTCCGGAAATGATACCGAGGGGGTACGGTGGATGGGGGGGGCAGGACGTACTCATCATTTGCGATGCCTTACGCGGCTATTATAGACCATCTTGACCACACGGGGGTGTTTCACGGTGGTCTGGGGGGTAGGGGGGCGCGTGGTGGGAGGGTATGTTGGGGGGTGAGAGACGGAGTTGGCTGCGTGCACCGACTCTCGCCACGGTGCCTGGTTGTTTTTAAGGCGTGGTTCTTCGCTGCCAGCAACAAAGACGTCTCGCAACGGTACGAGATGCAGTCACCCTCGCTCGAGCTCACACCCTCATCTGCTCGGCGATTGTTGTCCCTAGAAACCCTTCCTCTTTTACCGGAGGTCTGTCGCAACACATGTAGATGGAAATTCCAGATATTTCAATCTGTGCTCCCTTCGCGTTTGAAGGAGGGACTAGCGAAAACCAAACCCAAGAGACCACGGTAGGGCGAGAAATCCCTCCGTGCCCCGGATATCGACATACCCATCTTCTCGCCCCCAGCCGTCGCGAGATATTGTTGTTGTTGTTCTTGTTGTGTTTGCACTAAAAAAAACGTTCCGGTCTCCACTCATCCGAGCTGGTCAAACAATGGTTCACTTTGGACCGGAAAGGTTTCCTAAAGTTCCGTCCGTGATACTTGTAAGGCCGCTATCCCTTTCCGGACAGTCGTAGCGGATCGGACGAACTGTGCGGGCGACCTCCCTCGGCTAACTATTGCGGTGTGAGGATCACCGACATAAAACGCTGAAAACCGATTCAACAAGACAGGCTACGTTTGTAGACCGTATGGTGAGCGGGCGGAAAACGATGGGGAACGGCTGTGTGCACAGCCGGAATCAGGGTTGATGAGGCTGTTCCTGGTGTCCCGTGGTACGTGACGCGGAACGTGCCGGTTGGCCGTTCTTTGTCGCTTCGTCGAAGCTTGAGGGTACCTTCGGTGGCTCACCGCTCAAACACTCACTTGGGCTTGCCGTCGAAGGCGTGGAGAACAGCTCGGGTGATACCCTCTTCTTGCAGCAGCGATATGGCGTGGTGCCCTGCCGAGCGGCTGTGCACGTTCACCGCCAGGCCAAGCTCCTGAGGGTTGCGCGACGCCAGGCACCCACGGGCGAGAGGAAGGAGGAGGAGTTGGCGGTGGCTGCGTACGCGAGGCGTGCAGCGGTGGAAAGCTGCGAATAACTCGTACGACGATGGGGTGGTGAATGTCAGCACGCACAGCAGTAACACGCCGTTTCGCGGTAAGAACAACAGGGTCCCGCAGCAGCAGGACACGAGGAGCACTGCCGCCAGCAAGAGCGCTCGACACGTCGCTGCCAATGCTTCTTTTCTACTGCAACCGCTCTTCATATGCTTACCTACAACCTCCCTTTGGTGGGATGGTCACTGATACAGACAGAAGCGGCAAACAGTCGACACGCCACCCATGGGGGCAGAGTAGGCGGTGGCCAGGAAACGCCATATACAATTCCGCGAGAGCAACGCGTCGTAGGCCCGAATGAGACAGCTGAAAAAATGAGTGGGCCCCAAAACCGCGCATACACCGAGAGCCACTACAGCATTGACGACTGTTTCTCTCCTTGCATCAAGCCCGCCGATCTTCCTCTCGCGTTAAACCAATGGAACTGCTGTTGTTGGTCTACCTTGTGGGTGACGTAAGATATCACACCCCCTGGACCGATTTTCAAAGCTCGAAATCTCCTCAGCACACAAAGTGGCGGCGTTGAAGCCGTCTCGTCGAGAGCTGTCCGAGAAAGTATCGTGCCATTTATGCATCCTCTTCGTCGTGAAGTATGTTAAAATCGATCTTGGAAAATCAGTCCCGGGGGTGTGGGATCTTGCGTCACGTACTGCTTGTAGGCACACGAGAGAACGACGTCAAACGTCACACCTTCGCGCGGCGGGCCTGCCTCCTGAAGACCTCCCTCTGAACCTCCTTGGCCCTCTCCGCCCGCTCCCCGCCGGACTCGCCGATCAGGTGGCGGCTGAAGTCCAGGCCTACCTCTCCAACGCAAACTATCGTGTCGGCGTGCTTGTCGATGAGTTCGAGGACGTCGTCCACCTTGTGGAGGTCTGCCTTTTCCGGGTGCATGCCGATTGATGGGTGGAGCCGAAGCTTCCGACATCGAGACGCGTCATCGTTGATGGACGCGCATAGTTCGACCACCTACAAAACATTGAAAGCGAGCGGGGTTGCCAGTGGAGACTGGGCCAACGGCAGAAAACGGTTTACCCGTAAACAAAACGTACATGGTCTTACCGCAACGGATGGCATTGCAGCCACGAAATGATACGTACTGGGTGTATTCCCGGCTGCACAAAAGGTTTACCAATGCACCTTGGAGGCAGCATGGACGACTTTATTGCTACAGGGCCCTGCTGCTTGCAGGGCGTGGCTTCGGATCTGGGTCAGTAGGCAGACTTAATCGTATATCGCGCCTGCTGTATGCTGTATGCGACATCCTACCGGTGTAGCGTCGTCGAGAGACTCAGACACGGCAACGATCCCGGTCACCCCCGCCGCCTCTGCCTCTAGGAGGGTCTGCTGCAGTCCTTCCGCCAGAGAGGAGTCCGTGAGGTGCGCGTGGCAGTCAAACATGACGGCAGGGAGCCCGGCGACGAGAGTGCTGGACACTGGACACTGGACAACTGCTGTGGACTAACTGGACGCGCTGGACTGTTGGTTGTTGATTGCGCCGCATTTGGAAAACGCCTCACGAACTAACATCCGAACCTCACCCAAGAAAGTCACGAGGCCACCTCTCGAGCCATTCAAGCAACGGGTACTGCTGTAGAACGGACGACACGACCATGACAGAAGGTGTCGCGATGGGTGAGGTGGATGAGGTCCAAGATCGCGTGATGGAGATCGCCGCCCTGCTGAAAAAGAAGGCACCACATCTGGCCCCCAGCGTTATCCCGCGACCATATAAACACGCCGCCGCCAACATTGTGACGCTGTGCTCGACGCCCAGGCAACGGGCAGACGCAGAAGCCTTCTTGGCGTCCAAAGCGGAGAGTGCTACCGTCGATGACGTTGCGGCTGCGGGGGAGAGGGGTCGCGGGGAAGAGGGGCAGCAGATCGAATCGGAGGATGCGGCGGAAGGCGGGAGACATCATGTCGTCCTCGAGACCGAGACCGACATCGCGACCAGGACGTTTCGGATTACTGCCGCCAAGGTACGGCTGGTTGCCTGTGCGTACTACTGTACATGCCTTCCTGTGTTTAATGTTGCTGCGCGTTTGGTTCTAGGAAGATGTGGCGAATCAATGGGTGCGAGTTATGCCCACAGTAGCACGCCTGCAAGAGCACGCCGTTGACTTGGAGCATGTTATCAATCGCAATGCAGGGCCAGCAGGACATGGTTTCTGTAATGCATGTACGGTAGGCCACACCACGCTCCGTCGCAATGAAGTGCAACACGCAGACAAACTTAAGTCAGCCAGCATGGCTGGTGGCGTATTGCGGGATCACTGTCGGTCGGGTGTATGGTATCATTGATGGGAGATCGTTATTGAGTTGAGGCCGACACACGCAGATGAGCTACACGTGTTCGGACGTTCTTCTATGTTGTCGGGAGCGGTGGGCACTGCCGTTGCGGACGGTAGAAGAGACTTGATGTGGAATGAGCGCTTGCCTAGAAGTACTTCGAGGGCTATGGACTGGCCAGACGTTAAGTTGCAAGAAAGATCAGATGAGGAGAATCAAGGGGGTCAGCCGGGGGAGGAAAACACCACAGAGGTGACTCGTCCTCCAGCGCTACGTGGGGAAGCACGCTTGGACATATTTGCTGACAGACCGAGGCCTACGTGGACTCTTGTCTTTCGCCGGTATACGGATACATACATCGACTAACCGACCATACCGATCTACCGCTTCACGTGGTCTCTGGTGTTGGAATGAAAGTGGCAATACATACACACCGAAATGGCGGTTGTCCCTCACAACTGTGCAGGTATCTCGTTACATGGCTACCGTACCACCAGCAGCCCCGCTTAGATTCATGGGGTCCCGAGCCATGCATACCACTCCGTATCAGAAGCCACTGTTGCTTGGTCACCGACTAAACTGAGCGGTCAACCACATCTACAGCCGCACTGTCATGTTTGTCTCCCCGAATAACCGGCGATTCTCCCGCGTCCCTTGTTCGGCGACCCCTCTTGATCGACCCCCGTCCGCCTCGGCAGCTCGGCGGAAGGATAGACGCGACCTTGTCGGACCTCAACCTTCTGATGGACCTGCACCTGAATGCCCCCCGACAAGAGGTGACTTTAAGCGATGGTCTTTCGTGTGACCGGCAGTGTTTCTTGGAGACACGGTTGTAGTGTGCGCTTTCGACACGAGCAGACACTTAGAGTACGAACCTTGTAGGCGGAAGTTGGTTGAACACCGCTACGCGCTTCCTCTCACGATATTCACTTTCCTGCTCCCGCCTGTATCACGGGACGCACGCATGTTTGTTCTCGTTTCACGCAGTTTGACGACGCTTCTCGCCCCTAAACCACGCGACGTACATCTCAGAACAATTTTCATGCTCCCTCTAAGGCACGCCGTCGTTGTCGTCTCCTCTGCCACGGCCGCTGCTCGGCTTGACTGCTCAGTTGGAGCCTTACGTTGAGCGCTTCGCGGCGGCGAACGAGCTGGATCCCTCCACCGCCGCGCTGGCTTTGCACGGGGCCTGCAGCCTGGCGTACGCGCTCCAGGTGGCGACGAGGTGAATTGAGCTTCCGCTTTCCACCATGCAAACCTCGCGGGTATTTCTCCGTCCGTATAGAATATATCGTTTTAATGTATACTTCAACAGTAGAAAAAGCTCGAGCGACGAAAAGGCGCCCCTACTGTAGGAAGCATGACGTTGTGCCGCTCGCCACAAACTGCGCTGTGTCTGAAAAAGGTTGTTTGCATGGTGTCGGCCCTTCCTCGCAAGATGCTCTGAGGGACACCGAACGTAGCTAAATTTCCCTCTTGTTGCCTACGGTAGGTATTATGCATCTCACTAGCTCTCAAGGTTTTCGGCCTGTGCCCGAAACGTCCACAGCTCACCAACGCCTCCGCCACCCCCCGCTTCGACCTCGTACGCTGGCTTATCAGCAGCATTGCCGGCTGGAACGGATTCGTTGGAAGCCACCCTCTTCCGCTGGCGGGTGACGTGGACATGACGGTCGTCATGAACGAGCTCTTCAGGCCCCCGCCAACCCCCCCCGCATCTCCTCGCAGTCGCAGCAAGAGCAAAACCAAGGGGAAGAAAGGTGGCGCAAAGAAGAAAAAGGCCGCTGCTGCTGGTGGCGAGTCGGGGGCAGCGGGGGTAGAAGGAGTGGTTTCGGAGAAGGGGAAGACGGCGAAGAAAGGGTCGAAACGAAAGAAGCAGGGCTAAGAGGCTGTCACGAAAGCTGTGTCCTTGTCGCTCTAGCCCAGAGGCGCGAGAGGCCCTTTTTGTTGAGTAATTTGACGTGTTGTAAAATGTACAGTCGTTTCACCTGGTTGCGGAAGGGTGTACGTTGTCGGCCCCACGGGCAGCCTGGGTTGTTGCCTTGGGAGTGGCTTCCACTTCGTAGGGTTGCATCATCTGTGGTGCTTGTTGTTTGCCTTGCCCTTTAAAAATATATACACAAATATATGCAGCGGGCCTTGCGGGTGCAGTGGACGTCGTGACCCACAATAAGAATGGGCGCAAGTATTCGTCGACATGTGGGGATCGAAACACGCCGGCTAGGACAATGAATCATGGACGATTCGCATTTTTCTTCTTCTCTGTCGACCGAGTTGCGTGGAGGTCGGGTGGGAAATTGTTGCCTGACCTTCCTTCTTTTCGCCGGTGTTCCCTGCGGGGTCGCTGGTGGTTGCTCACTTGCTGTTCGAGCCCTCCCCTTCCGCCACATACATTCATGTCGATCCACGATCCGCCACGCATAAAATCCCACCGGGTTAGTGATCTCGCCACGTGTGTAGCGAGACTTCCGGCGAACACATTTTCCCCCAGAAGACGACATCAGCCCAGCCACTAAAGTATGATAATTCAATTGCCCATGGCGCAAGCTCATCTGCTGGTGGCGAGGAAAAACTGCCGGGGCAATAAACACAGCTGTAGAGTGTGTACATCCTTGACCCAAACGGATAAAACGGGGAGTACAGTAGTTCAGAGAAGGAGCTGGATCGGATCTGCCGCTGCGGACTTCCCCCCCATTTTTCAACTGTCAACAAGTAGTATGGAGATTGGCGAGAAGCTCATTGCCCCGGGCGTCGGTGCACGTGGTTTCATGTATACACAGCAGAAAGCTGCAGCGGTCGGTGGTACCCTTTTGCGTATAGCACAGAGGTACGTATAATTTAGCTCATGTGCGGACAGCCAGCCAGCAGCATGTAGTGGCCAGGGTGAGTACTAACGCCTTCATGAGTCTACTACTGTAAACGATTGAGAGACCACCCACAAGAACCGTTCCGAGGTTTCCCATTCTCACGGAAGATCCGAAAACCGAAAACAACTGCTGTAGTTACAGTTGTTACCAAAGATCTGATGGTTGTAAATATATCAGCAGTCATGCTGCGTTTATTCTCTACATCGCTGGTACATTGTAGACCAATACAATATTATCAACTTTGCCGCAGCTACTGCTGCCGATACACGCCGATTTCATGCGACCAGGGCGATACTATCCAAACATCCAAACCCAGACAGGTATACAGCAGTACTGCTGTACCACATGCAGTTTATCCGCCAACCGTCACATCTATCTGTGAGAACATGAACATGAGAACATGAACATGAACCGCCAGGTAGCGAAGAATCCTACCCGTTGGATCGGATTTACAATTTACAACTCTTGATCTCTTGTTCCTCACACGCACGGTCGTTCCACGTCACCGTCCGTTTGATTTCCGTTGACACATCACGCACCAGCCAGTACCGGAGGAATCGGGAACGACTGCCCGCGTTCTCTCAGTCTGCGTGCATCTCCTCAATCACGTGCTGCACGAAGCCAGCGTGACGGGAAGGTTATAACTTTCGGCACGGCTAAACACTAAACACCCCACCACCCCACCGGGGTATTTATAGCCGTGCCGTATAACGTTCCGCTGGAACACGCTTTTCTAAACCTGCGTTTTCCAAGCTGCGACTTGACTGTGGAGTTGCAAGCCAGCCTGGTCGGGAAACCACACAGCAGCAGCCCCACTCAGGTGTGACAGTTTTGCGTTTACAGCAGTATACAGTAGCACTCCATGGTATGCCCATGCACTTTGACTGCAGCAGTACGCTACATCCACCACCCAAGTGCTGTGTGTTCGACACGTCCGTTGTATCGACACTTTTTTGTCTATCTGTTCTCCGCACTTGATGGCGGCGGCCGCAGCGGTGCAGCAGCGGGATGTCTTTTTTTTTGCCTGAAGAACGAAAGGTGCACAGCAAGAACCCGCATTTGTTTGTGGCGCGTGGGTGTGGCCTCCGTTTTTCGTCGGGAAATACCGCGCATCTCTCTCCAACCTGTATACTGACGCACACCATGATTCTTCTTTATTCAGTAAAGCATACACCGGCGTAAACTATACGCACTGGCAAGTTGCGTTGTCCCCCTTTTTTTATCTGCACGGGATGCTGCAGGAACTACATGGAACCCTCCAAATTCCACCCAACACCTGTTGGATCTTTAAACTTACTGCCCGCTGTCGCGCGACGTCGTGTGTTGAGGTACAAACGTCCAGCGCCGTGCCTGGCCGCAGAGCAGGCCAGAGTCTGAAAGACTTCTGAAAGCAAGACAAGCTTCAGACAAAGCGCTCACGAACGTGATTTTTCGATCTGTGAATTGGAAGGTCATTGTTTCAGAATATGTACGAGGAGAGCGTGAAAGGACGTGCGTGTTGGATTAATCTCTTGATGAGCCGGATGAGCCAAGCAGTAAAAAACCTGCCAATATATCTGCGGTGGTGTCGGTGTGAGAGTAAGCGAGAAATTTCAATACAACATTCGTGGCTCGGGTATAAGAGGGTACCTTACTTGGCACAGGGGTCTCCGATATAAGAGGGTCGAATTCGGTTGTGACGGACTCGACCCGCTTAGTAAATAGGGTTACCCTCTTATATAGAGACCGGACCCTTTATAGTGGGGTCACCCCACTATAGATGGGGTCGACCCACTATGGAGGGGGTTGACCCCGCTGGGATTGTCAGTTAGGGACTGTTGCCGGTGTGTGGCTCCCTTGGTCTTTCACTCACACACAAACACACCTTCCTCACGCAACAAAGGCCGCAGGAATAGACTAGAGAGGAGCTGCCAGAATACAGTTTACTAGTAGTGGAAATTTGGTGAAAGTGGTGGGAATATGCAAGGGGGATGACGCAAGGATAAAAATGAAAGCACACTCCGAATACAAACACATGTGTGTGCAAACTAGCAGCTTGGCAACACGTGCAGCGTTCCTCTGTTGCCGCCGTCCTATTTTATATCTGGAGTGTAGCTTAGCCGCCCCCCATGACGCCCCCCTACGGGTTGACGGATTCACGGGGTCCCGGATCGTGGCAGTTTGAAGCACTTTCTGTTAACAACCGCACTGAGACTGGCGCATTTTCATTGGTTATTTAGCTGGTTAGCGCTGTCGATGCCAATAACATGCACACGAACACACAATCGCAGTCTCGAAGACGTTTCATGCTCCATTGCGCCGTATCTTGCCCCTGCAACCGGCAACCAGTTGGTTTACAATCGATGCAATTCCGGTACACTTCTATACATAGAATTTTCTGCTTAGGCAGCAGGGGCATGAAATCGGCTAAAAACTCTAACTTACCCCTAACTCTAACCCCAAACCCACCCGATACAAGGTAGGTGCTAGCCTGGCCCTAGGTTGGTGTTGATGGGAGAATTTGTAGGTTGTTATTGCTTGGATGTGTGCTAGGTTACTGCTTGGGTAGGTGCTATCAGCAGCACCATACACCACATTTTTCCAAGGAACACGGAACGTTTCAGCGCGCGTCTGTGGCCCGCAGCACGTGGCAGGTACTCCGAGGAAACAAACGCCACCGAAACAGGCAGAGAGAGCAGTGGTTGTACAGGAAGCTGTTGATGAGAGCGCACATCATCCACAAGTGCTAGGTAAGTATCAGGTAGCGCGGGCGGCGCTCGTCGTGCAATTCGCACCCTCGAGAGTGCTCTGGAAGGCTTGTTTCTTGAGTTGCGGTCAAAGGCAGCTTGTCGTCTTCAATGGGGGTCCTATCTTCCCCAATACAACGGCTACACGAGCATCCGCCGCCGTTTTCTTGCATGCGAAACATCTGATAATGATGTCAATGCCTAAATCGGTTGAACCGGTGGCATGCAGCACCTGTGGCAGCCACATGCCCGAGAGTGATCACACACATCCCACTTTGTAGCAATCCCTGCACCCCCTGATGATGAGCCACTTGTTGATGAACCTCGTGAGCACGAGTGCTTGCTGTTGTTTCCTTGCTCTCTTGGATAGACTGAACAGAAAGGGGCGGACCTCTCCTTGCAGGGAGGGGCCGTTTTCCCCCTGGTAGTAAAAATTTGATCCTGAAAAGGGAGTTGCGGCTCCCGCCACAACCTGGTAAGCTTTCCTAGAACTGCTTGTACCGCTCAGTTCAGATCCTTGTACTCGAATCCCATAACACTAGCCAGCCCACCATGGAAGTTCGTGTACGCAGGTACATTAAAACTCCGGGATGTTACCAAGTTCAATAACATGTAGAACTCGAAAATGAATCGAAGGTGCTAAACCCCACAACGCAAGCAACAAAGCGCCCTCCCACACTTCTACATCAGAAATACCGTCGTCGTATACGCGGATGTTACAGCACGAGTCTAGCGAAAACGATCTACAGCAGTGTCTGCGTCGCCATTGGGTACGGCAACAAATTTAGGAACGGACAGCCCTACAAGAAGCGTGACGCCCCTGTGTATCTTGGGGAACTCGGCAGCGGGTTCGATTTCTCCGAATGGCCTACGGCGATAGCCACGAGTACTGTCGACGACGCCAATTGTTGAGAGGTTTACCGGCGTAGCAGTGCTTGGAGACCCTGACGATGACGTACTTGTCCCTGAATCTCTTGAGCAGCAGTGCTTGCTGCTGTTTCCTGCTCTGTTGGATAGGCTGAACAGAAGGGGGTGGACCTCTCCTTGCACGGAGGGGCCACTCACGGAGGGGCCACTGTGGCACAATATCTCCTTGACAGTACTTGTATCCGGCATACAGAGTTGCATCTCCCGCGATAGCCTGAAGACCTTTCCTAGAAGTACCGTTCAGATCCGTGTACTCACACCCCATAGCAACCTCCTGCGGTATCGTGAGATGGGTCCAGCCGTCCCCTTCCCTAGTCGGCCATATACTCTCGAAATTGATCGTATTCTACCTCCCGTTGTAGGCA